TCGAGAAATCCTTAAAGTCTTACGCGAAATCGGATCAAACCTCACTAATGGAGTGACATCCAGTTATCCGGTCACAACTGAAGCATTAGAGATCCAACGTTTTGTCAACGTTTTGTATACTCAAGAAGTTCATCTAAACTTTATCTTTGCCGTGACCTTCATAACCAATTTCTTTTCACAAAAAAATTATGATTGCTCAATTATGTTTATGATGTGAACTTCCCGTTTAAACTTCGCTTTCTATTTTAATCTGTAATCTGTCATTCTCCACAGTTTGACCTTTGACCGTAAATAGTTCTAGGATTTTCTCACCCCTTTGTTATATGTCAACGAACATATAACTTAGCTTGTGACTTCATTGAGAAACATTTTCTTTTCTTCTGTACAAACGCTTTACCATGGACTTAATCATCTCTCACCATAATATCTCACTGTGTTCCCCTACACCTTAACAGCCTTCTCTTTACTCCGTACTCCATTGAATCTAATTTATGTCACATTATTGTTATTATTTTATTTCTATTATTGTCACCTGTCACTTCTACCACAGCAAAGACTACATCTCACCCCATGAGGCTTGTAAATTAACAAAGTTATCATCCAGTTACTTCTTTATTTTATTTTATTTTTTTTATCACAGCTTGATTCCACACCGTATTTTTGGTACAAGTATGGAATTTTCAGCATGGATATCGGTAGCCCAAATTTTGCCGGCCGACCATAGATATCAGGTGTGCGTCGGCAGGGGATCGAACCTCGGACCATGTGCATGGTCAGTGAGAGTCCTAACCACTGTGCCACCAACTAAACATAGTTGGTAATAATATACCGACGTCTTTTTAATTTTGAATAGTCAGTCTCTCTAGTAAATTTAGATGTCATCAATAGAAGATGAAGTCCACCTGAGAACTGTAATGTATCTTCAAAGAATAATCTTGGGCGTACACTAGTATGTATTGGGTCAGTAACTATTCGTAAAGTTCATTCAGCCTCGTTGATGGTGCGAAATCAGTTTATTGTTACAATCAACCTAGCGCTGTAATCCCTTATCTGGTTGTAATATCAATAATAATGTCACTTAGTATTCTCCTTACTTCTGAAAGTCCGATGCTTTGTTCATTTCAACTGACCTTTCATTCCCTGATTTTCTCGTAGTTTAAATGACTCGTAGGTTCATGACTAGACTATTAGACATGTAATTTGCGAATACATTGCTTCGTCTTTTCACAACACCGCCCAAAGGTTTTGTATTTCTTAACTAGTGCTTACTCCTGAGAAAAGGTAGAAGTATACAAACTTGTGACAACCTTATCTAAGTTCCAGTCAACTAGAAACCGAGAAATTTTTCAATTTACTAACTAAATTATCAAGCTGCAAGTTCAGTGCAGTTGATGAATTAGCCTGCTAATATAAAAATTAAGTGAATCCACCTTCGGATTTCAAAACTTAAAGTGAATTGTGTGGAAGAGGAAGAACAGTAAAGATTTGATTTCAGCGTAGTATTCGAAACATATTAAACAATTTTATTTATAATACTGAGTATGAATTCCAGTTACAGGAGGTTTCTAACTTTTGTTACCATAGCTCCATATTTTTCATATTCGCAATTTGCGATTCACACACAGCTCACCGAAGTAAAATTTCACCACAGGTTTCTTTGAAAACCAAAACTATTTCGATTGTAGTATGCGATCTGCTTGACACCATAAGTAGTAATCAAGAAGGCAGGCATAAATGCATAGAACTGTTCATTCAAGTGGTTTTGCGCACCAATAGTTTTCATTACTAATTTGGTTGAATTCCCATTAGAAATGAGGAAGCTACGAATTGGGTATAACCACTTATTCAGAATGCGTCTGAAGCTACTAACTATTGAAAATGTGCAATGCTGAAGGCTATTATTATTATAGTTGTCTTCTTGGCGTTTAGTTTGTTATTTTATCTATTTATAGATTAAATTACGTGTGAAAATTGTCTAAGGTGTTTGTCTAGAACTTAATGGGTCGCAGACACTTAGCTAAACATCAATATTCTGTTTGTTTTCTATATGTTGGACTGACGAATTTAAAACGCAGCACCATGATTTCTTATACCACAGTTTTAGGAAAACATGTACCGCAAAAGAGATTCAGCCCCCGAAAATAAACTTACTTACAGAAACAGAAGGTAGGATAAAAGATCAGGTGAATAGGTGTCAATTCATGAAAAATGATAAACAGATTTCCTTATAACAATAAATAAACTAGGTTCTGGAAATCAGGTTAATGCTAACCGGCAATTAATCATGTGCTAGCAGTTTATGTGTTATTAAAATAAACCCTGTTGTTTTCTGAAAACACAGAATCTCTGCCGCTTAGATATTTCATTGTAAGTTTCATTTTTAAGCTGTCTTTGAAGTTTACCGATATAATTTATAAAATAGTGCAAAAGTTTTGATAAAAACCACCGCGTGATTACAGTCAACTAGGAAAAGAGATGAAAAGGTTTACTTTAACCAGAGGATAAAAGTGACTTTATCAGGTGTTTTTGACACAGGTCAATTGAAATAAGTAGACTTATAAACTGATTTATATTCAGAACGAAATAGTTAGAGCGAACAATTGTTCTTAGTAAATTTTTCTTCAGGCTGTACAACAATAAATCTGTTGATTTAAGCATGCGGTAGCCAATAAAGGCAAATTAGAATCTTATCAGAAATGTATTGTAGGTTGGGCATAAGATGGGATTGAACCATAGTCAGTTTTGAATATGCAAATACTACAACGATGTATATATATATATATATATATATATATTATTTATTTATTTAGAGAGAGAGAGAGAGAGGCGGTTGACTATGTCTTTTGTCAGTAGCTGAAGAGGTAGCAATCAGTGCCAGAAGACCGGGTCTTTGCAAACAGAAAAAGTATATTCAAACTCTTTGTTTAACTTGGCTTACAATAAGGCCAACAGATCCCCACAAACTTTGGCTTTTCAAATACCTAATGCGATTTTTCCTACTTTTCTCCTTCTATTCCTTTATTTCATTGACTAACGTTCATTTCTGACGTTCGACGACTTCATAACCTTTCTAATGATGTCTGTTGCATTAGGATTATTATTCATTGAATCATTATTCTGTGATAATCATTCACTGAAAGTACTTTCAAACTTACACGACATCATCATTATTATTACATGATCGTTGTTATTGTCGTTATTTTCAGCCTTAAATTTACGTCTAGTCTATCCCGTTTGTTGGTTTATTTTTCTGTAGGATGCATACTGTCTCACAAACCACTGATTACACCGACGCTCGAAAAATGCACCTTTGTTGAGTATATACACCCATATATATCATTAAATTACCTCATCTCTTTTTATCTCATGTTCTCATTGACCATGCATATTCAAAACAAACTGACTATTTGTTTGAGGTTGCACACGGAATTGATATTGGTTTAAGAACCAAGGAGCAATGGGCAGCTATTTCTGCTGTCCTAGTTTGGGAGTCATCGGCAGCACGCATCCAAAGGGTTTCATACCCAGGACCTTGCGGTTACAAGTCAAGCTTGTACACTATTCACTCACTGGGACCCGATTCATTGGCCAGCCCATGAATTTTAACCTCTACCAACTCGTGGATTTTAGCATGACCACCGGCCAATCTCATCAGCAGGAGCTCCATCCTCTATATGACTGGATGGACCTCACTGGTCACAGCTTCTCACTAGAACTCCAGGCAACTTCGTCTTTTAACCAGTCACTAGCGACTATCAGATCTTCAACTGACTATTGTTCCATCCAATCTTATAATTGTTCAACAATACATCCCTTTATGATTCTAATTTGCCTTCACTGGCTATCGCACGCTTAAATTAATGGATTTATTGTTTAAAAACCTGAAGAAGAATTTATTGAAAACAACTGTTCTTTCTAACAATTGTTTTCTGAATAAATCACAATAAAGTACAATGATAAATATTTCTGGCCAACACCAACAGCAGCAACAACAACAACAGACAACAATCAGCATAAATGGGAGGAACCTGAAAAAAACAACCTCCTTTACATACCTACCTGGGAAGCACCGTTTCAACTACACGCGGAACTGACGAAGATATTAAAGCAAGAGTCGGAAAAGCAAGACAAGCTTTCATTACTCTCAAGTCTGTGTGGAGGTCAACAGCACTCAGTATCAAAAATAAGATCCGGATTTTCGACTCCAATGTGAAGTCAGTCAGTGCTACTATACGGATTAGACTTACACTACGCGTCATAAAGAGAATCTCAAACAAACTTCAGACCTTCATTAACAGCTGTCTTCGCTCAATACTACTCAAATCAGATGGCCAGCCAGAAAAGATCAGTAACAGGAAGGGATCTCTGGGAGCGAACCAACCAGGAACTGATTGTGAAACAAATAGGCAGGGGGAAATGGAGATCAATTGGCCATACTCTGAGGAAACCATCAAGTGACATCACTAGACAAGCCATCGCTCGAGTGGAACTCTAAAGGGAAGTGGCGACCTGGTCGTCAGTGCGATGGTGGGGTGACTTGGAAGAAGTCATGTGAAGAGGAGATGAAAGAGTGTGGGAGGATTTGGAGCGGGGTGAAAACGTTGGCAGAGAATTGAACGCAATGGAGACGCGCAGCTGAAGCCCTATGTTCCTTTAGGAATTAAAGGAAATAATAATTTTTATTATTACGTCACTTTGCTTTTTGCCTTACTGGTGTATAACAGTGTGGCATAAAACAGTATTAAAACTCTTCAGTCATGAACACTGTTTCATTCCATTTTGCTTATCAGATCCACTATAGATTAGAATAACCTGTCGTAGGACCCTCAAGCACTCAATACTTTACCAGTCGAGATTTCACTGCCATATTGAATTCGATGTTCAGCATTCTAAATGCTTTTTTACATAACCTAACCGTAAGAAATATCTACTTGTTTTAAAAAACTGTTCCGCAATAAACAATATCATTTTGAATGAAATATACACAAGAAGTTGCTTACCCTATGTGTTTCACCCATATGGTTACGTTGCTCAATCATTTCTGTAGACAATAATGATGATACAATTATGAAAAGTATCCAAGTTAAAGAGGGATTTAAGCAACTGTTAAAATTTGAGTGCTGTCTGTTTTTTTTTCAAAATTTGTCTCTTTTGTTGAATAAAATGCAGTAATAATTAGAAAAGAAATTAATTTCACAATGATCGGATTGTTTTTGTTTTGATCAAGTAAATATTCTAGAATTCAGTAAACATTTTACTATTTGAAATTTTTTTCAAATATCTGTTAACAATGTATTGTATAGTCACTGCTAAAAAGTTGTATTCTACCATTGTAAAGGCATACAGTTATCACTCAACCTGTATGAAAAGTGCTTAAAAAATCAGTTATGAATATTATATAATTGGTTAAAATGATTGCCATAGAAGTCACTTATTGGTTTAGTAAATATGTCATTATTTGTCTTTTATTAACAAAAGAAAATAATTTTAAAAAAGCATCTTATCTAAATAAACTCTATTCGATTAGTGGCATCAAGAAAACACATCATGTTTGTGATCAATCATTCTCTCTGATATTTTCATTTTTATGAAGAAGATTGAAAAGTAAACAACTTAAACGACTAAAAGAATTTATCACTCTTGAGAACTACAACAGACGAGCATAGATAGGAATGTGGTTAGTTCGTATATAGTAAGGTATAACTATGGGCGTTATAATTTTAAACTTAGACATTGAATAAAAGCATTGCTCACTAACAATTGCGGTATAATATTTGTTTCTCCATTGAGTAGTCTTTTTTCTAAGAAAAAATTTCACTGACTTCAGTCTGTCCATGCTCAGAGTCATTTTTGTCACCAGGGGATTGATTGAGTGGTTTTATCACATTCAAGTATAATGCCATATGGTTAGGTGAGGGAAATGCGGTCATTTTGTAGCTTTTGCACTAATTTATCTTGTCGATTATAATCTTATTATTATACTTTTGGGTTTCTAGAGGAAAATAGGGCTTTGGTGTCATATCCCTTTTGGTAACAGCGGAAGCTACAGGAATTTACTTGAGCAGGTAAGGGTTACGCGTTTCGAAGTACTATGAACAGTCAATTACCTTGCCTTGGTCATTTCTACGGTCCGTTATACACAAACCATTCTGTTCTCTGAGCTGGATAGTTAATTCGCAAAGCTTTCATCGCCCTACTAGGTGACATATTCAGCGCATACTTCACTTTGAAGTAAGCTTTACATTTCTCCACGAGTTTATCAGTCATCTCTCCTGGCGGGTGGTCTTAGACGTGATTGGTTGTTTTGTGTGTTTTCACACCTTCCAGGTTACTTGTATTGGAACTGATTGTTTCATTGACTTGATATTATCAGCCGACAAGAAAGAAACCTGACACACAAAGGCTCAATGTTCAACCACATCAAAATCACCCACCAGCCTATGATTAACCTCCTTCCATCCAAAATCTCTATATAATCTGTATCCTTTTCTGGGTAATCGTTGAAAAATAGGATTTTCACACTGTGGAATAACTTTTTAATAATTTTATAATTGCCATTGCAGCATTAAGAACACAATATTCATCGGAGAGACTTTTCAACAAATTTATTATCAAACTGTACAACCGTATATATGTGGTCTTTTTGAAGAAATTATATCCGCTGAGGGAATTAGGTCAAAGGTGTGAATATATGAAATAATAATGCAATAAATAATGCAAATAAAATATTTGTGATTCTAATCATAGTTTAATGTCAAGTGGCAAAATAATTAAATAAACATTGCGGATCTCTCAAAAGATCTATCCACCGGAAACGCACATGGAACTGACAACTAACTAATTTTTACAGTTTGGTGCTTATTTCCAGTAAAAGGAATTTAATTCATTCACTCTACTTTAGGATAAGGAAATTTTTAGTTCTGATTGCGTTGACTTAGAACTTGACTTCTTAAAAGCCATGCTCGCAGAAAACGGTTACCCTAACCGATTTATTGACAACAACACGAAAGACAAGCAGTCTAAACTGGTCACCGAGTCAGTTCCAAAGAAAACCTTATTCATGAACTCGGAATTCAAAGGTGATCAAGCTTCAGATATGTTCAAAAATCGTCTCTCTAAATCAGCCAGTAAGACGTTCTTTGCAGCAAAATTGCATATGACGTTCACGAGCCGCAAACTGTTCTCTACCTCTGTAAAAGATAAGCTCCTCCGTCTGGCCGCCTCCATGTGTATATACCAGTTCACCTGCTCTTGTGGAGCAAGGTACATTGGCCGTAGTCAGAGAACACTCTCCGCACGGATACGAGAACATATTCCAGCTTGATTTTACAAGGGAGAAAGGAAGTGTGTGCGAAGCTCTATTCTGGAACACCTGATCGACTTCTGTCACTCGGTCAACCCTGACCATGATTTCAAGATCATATATGGAATCCATGTTAACCACCCGCATTTTCTTCGTTACAGACTTCTAAAGACAGCTGAGGCCTTGGCAATTCATGACTTTAAGCCAGATGTTTGTGTACAAAAGAAGTATGTACAATCCCTACTTCTGCCTTGGCCGTAGAGGGGTAGATATTCATTTATTTATTTATTTTGCTTATTTAGTTATTCTATGTACTTTTCCCTTATTATTACAATTATTTTTATTATTATTATTATTATGACTATTCTCACTCTGAATCTTTTCCACTTGACCCACTTGACATTTTAAACCCAAAATTATTCGTTTTTATATTTTTTATTTTTACAATATTGAATTCTATCTTATCAAATTTCACACCATGTTATGTAACATTTTATATTCGTCCAGTAATCTTGTAATTATGTACCCCTTTCCAAAATCTATACACTTAGGTATTATTCTATATATGACATTAATTATTTTGCCACTTGTCAGTAAACTATGATTATAATCACAAATATTTTATTTGCATTATTTATTGCATTATTATTTCATATATTCACACCTTTGACCTAATTCCCTCAGCGGATATAATTTCTTTAAAAAGACCATATATAAACGATTGTTCAGCTTGATAACAAATTTATTGAAAATAGTCTCTTCGCTGAATATTGGGTTCCTGATAACTTTTCGGCCCATAATCATATACAGGTAACATTAAAAAAGATATTATCTCAATAAATATACAAAGAAAACGCTTTTGTCTCATGTTAATATCGGTGGGATTCCATTGTTGTAGTCAGTAAGAGGGTTCTTATGAATAACCTCGGAAGTGATAAATATGAAAGCTGAAGAACCGCACAGTGATAACTTATTCTGTTAATTAGGTAGATGTTTAAACAGCAAACTATATATAAAACTATTTATGTGTCAATAAACTTATGTAGGTGAGTCCCTAATTCGTCTTATCACAGATTGTAAGTGGTATATATATATATTCGATCCTGGGAAGAAAGAAGAAATAGAAAAAGTGATATGGTGAAAACACATACTGTGGTATCGTTTGGTAATTAATTCTGACTTTCATTTGTTCATCTGAAAATTCACATAGGCTTTAAATTGCACTACTGGGAATAACTTACCTTTGCTATTGTTATCTGTTTTTAATAGACCCATCCTCCATTTGTTTACGTCAGACTGCTATAAACACTGCTAGGAATCTAAACTAAAACTCTACCAGCTACCCAGTGTTTACATCGTAGTATCGTTTAGTATGCATCACATCAATAATTAACACACAGTGGGTAATTTTAATCCTCATAAGAAGACTACCTATAATCTTGATCGATCTATGAAAAAAATTAGGCTTGCAAATGATGAACATTCCCTGAAGCTTTTTGAAACAAGTTAAGTGATGTGGAGTGTGCGATACATCCTGGTATATGGAAATTTATCAAACTTAAAGAAACCTAAATAAGACACTGAAACTTTCTTAGGCAGAATACCCACCATGTGGTAGGCAATTAGTAATAAAGGTACATAAATTGTGAAAATCTAGAATATGAATAATTCAACATGCTAATAGTCATTTTGAAAAAGTTCAGAATACAAACAAAATCAGTTTAATTGGTTGGAGGATTTCATCATGAATTAACATAAGTTAGAGGAGCACTGGAAAACCACCAAGGAGTACTGGACAGCCACAGTTTGGGACTCTTCAACAGTATGCATCCACCGGGGTTCTAAACCATGAGCTTCTGGTTACAAGGCGAGCTAGCTCGTAGACCATCAGGCCACTGAGGCCCGATCAACTGGCCAGTACATGAATTCTAACTTCTGCCGGTTCATGACATAGCGCGACCACTTCTCAATGTCTTCTTAAGTGAGTTACTGTCTCACCTTCAACCTGCTGTACTCTACTGGTCACGGCTTCCCACTATAACTCCAGGTTAACCTCCTGAATAAGACGAGTTGTTAGTGAGCATTATACGCCGGTGTGTACCACTGAAGAGTCCAAACTAGAAGAAAACAGCTCTCTAGTACTCCCTGTATGTCGCTGATATCAGATCATGGTGAAATCCTTCAGCCAATCCAAAAAATATCTTTACTAATCTAATACTTGAAAATCAGTTTATTGAAATATTTCGACGATGATTACTTATTGAAAGATCTGTTTTTAGCCTCATTTGCTTTTCCCGTTGACTGATTGTGTTCAGCCGAAACACTGGGTCTCTGCCAATATACCGTCTACTAGTAAGAATGTTTCAACGATATCTAAGGAACAGCCTAGTGCATAATGCTTTGGCACTTGAAACATGGGTGAAGAGTTCTAATTATCGGAAAATCACCTTGCCGTTTTAAAACGAATAAGAAATGAGAAGAAAACTAAAGTACTTTTACCCGTTTCATTCATAAATTATTACTTCAAATGAGAAATAATTTCAAAGCACAGAAGATTAACAATCATTTACAATATTAATAATAATAATAATAACAATAACAATAATAATCTGCTCCCAATAAATTAATATACACTCATATGTATATGTGACGGTAACATAAGCTTAAATACATTCTGTACAGTGAAAATGTGAGTGAAAAAAAGAGTTAGTTATAGTTCCTTCCGCTTTGGCTAAAGTAATTCCTCCTTCACTAAACGGCAGCAGACAAAAACGCTACAAAAAACTTTAACATCAGGAAATAATTAATTTATATGTACCTATTGTAGGAAAGATTCAGTAATAGATCGTTCTGTTCCACAGTTTATGTGGTTGAAGGCTGGTTTACGCCAGTTAAGCATCATTCAACAAAGAATAGAAGATGAAACTGTGGAGGATAGAAAAATATATTCATGAATGATTTTTAAAAGGTGGTAATCAGTGATTCTTTTAATGAAATAATTTTACACCAATTTACTTTCTTTTGGAGAAAAATTTAAAACCTATAGGGTTTTTCTTTGGTGGTGGGATAGGTGGGGGAGCTGGATTTCGAATGGGTTGTTTTCCTGGGGCTGTGGTTGTTACGCTGACATTACCGGGCGAAACAGATGAAGGAGTTCGTTGTTCACTCTGAGGCTGGCTTGATTTGCCACCTATGCTTGGCGCTTTACGAGATAATATATTTGTTGTTGGGATATTAGATGTAGAATGAGTTGTAGTTGGATTTTGAGCAGTAGAATGTGATTGGGTTGATGCAGGTTGTGGTGGTTGACTGTTGGACAAAACTGATTGTTTAGAAGGTGGAGAGGTTTGTGGGTTAGGGAACCGGGCAGAGCTTGGTGGTTTTACTGCAGAAGTTGTTGAAGTAGGGCTAGCGGCTCTCAATCTCAAATTGGAAAGAATCGATGTGGGCACTCCAACCACAGGAGTCGGTTCAGCTTCTGTACATGCTATAGACTCGGAACTAAAAGGTGAAGTTGTTGTCGATTTCTTTTGCAACAAGAGGCTGGGTGAAACAGCTAGACTTGTCAATACACTAGGTGGATTTCCACTAGGAAGGATGCCTCTACCACCTGATATCGGCTGTCCATTTGTCTGACGTGGTTTTATACCCTTCGACTGAAGGTATAGGCGAGCAGCAGCATGAAAAATTGTCTGCACTTCCTTATAGGTGTCAGCGACAGTAATCTCAAAATATGGAATTCCATGTGATTTAGCAAATTCTTCGGCTTCAGTCTTCTGTACCAGACTAGTTAAATTGTAAAAAATATGGCAAAAATTATGTACATCGAATACTTAATCTTAAATATATAACAATAATAATGCATGTTATTTAGACACTCAGATTGTAATTTTCAGTTAACTATTTTTTAAACTAAAAACCACGACCAAAAGAAACTGGTCTGTTAGAAAATCTACAGTATTCCAATACTAATATGAGTGGAGCCTTGCCCTAATAATAAACAATAAAAGTATCGAACGAATGTTAAAGATATTTTTAGCCTATACATTCTTATACCGTCATACATTTATTTAAAATTCCCCGTTATTACTTAATACTGTATATTCCTAGTTGTAAACACCAAACGAATCAGTGTTCCCACCCCTAACCCCTGTTATAAAATACAATCGGCTCAACTTCTGTAAATATAATACTCGATATAATGATATCAAATTCTGAGGAACAAAGTTTAGTTAGCCATTCGTTGTATACTGTTCCAAGTTGAAGTATTAAGTGCTATCAAACCACAGGAAGTAGGAAGAACTGCTCTAGGTTAAAAATTGATTTTCAAATGATGGATTTGTATACACTCATTTGATTTGATTGTAAGTTTCATTACTAAAGGACAACAGTTTGAGAATCACTGAAGAGCACCAAGCTTAGATGAAAAACGTGTGTCTGAAAATCCCCCCCTCTCAATGGTTCTGTATCTGGCATCCAAGTATGATGAAATTCACCATAAAAATATATTGTTATTAGAGTGGTAGAGATAGTTGATGGTCCAGTTACCTGCTGATTCAATCATGAGCCTCACCTAGCTGGTAGTCAGTTTGGAAAAGAGGTAAGGTTGGGCGTGAAGTTAGTGATCACACTGTTTAAAAAGATGCCACTGCTACTGAAACTCAGGATCCAAAGAACGCCTTCACCTGACGTTTATTCTACTTGAAGAATCTGTGGATAGTAGAGAAACATCTTGTTTTAGTTCGTTAACCTCTCGATGAATATATTTATTGACCGAAATAAATATTTAACCAATGTTAAAACCGAACCACTGAAATCCAAGGAGTACTGCACTGCTGTTTCATCCTAGTTTGGGAATCATCAACAGTACGCACCCACCGCCCAGGATTCGAACCCAGAACCTTCCATTTACAAGACAATCTCGTATACCACTCAGCCACTGGGACCCGAATTAATGGCCAGCCAATGAATTCTAACTTCTATCAATTCGAACCCCAGTGGGTGCATACTGCCGATTATTCCCGAACTAGAATGAAACAGCAGCTGTCCAGTACTTCCTAGTTTTCAGTGGTTCTCTAACTGATGTCAATCCGTGATCAACTCGTTAAAACATAACTAACCCTTACAAACCAAACTATAGGAAATTTTTGTATTTCCTAAAATCAAAAGCATTTTGATTCCTAACGATATCGAATTCACAATTTCGTAACCTCATCTAACCTCAAATTAAGTTACTTTATCTACTTTATCATATGATACTTTCGAATCGTTTCATGAAGAACAGATTGATACTAGAAATAAGACATTCTATTGTTGATACAATATCTAGTTCAGAAAATCCTGCGCTGATTTCTTTTCATCAAGTAAGCTAACAACTGGAAAAGAACTTAAGGCTTTGTGTTGATTTCCTTTTAGATATCTGAATAGCCTCATATGCATAAAAGCTACAGAAATTGAAGTCAAATGCACATATTTTCAAGTATTGGTTTTGTAGGGATTTTGTTTGATTGCATGGAGGATTTAATCATGAGCTGACATCAGTTAGAGAATCACTGGAAAACCTAGGAGTACTGGACAGCTGTTTCGTCCTAGTTTGGGACTCTTCAGCAGTACGCACCCACCAGGATTCGAACCCAGGACCTTCTGGTTACAAGGCGAGCTCGTATACCATTGAGCCACTGGGACCCGATCCAATGGTCCTTGAATTCTAACTTCTGCCAATTCACGACATAGCGCGACCACTTCGCAATGTCTTCTTCGATGAGTTACTGCCTCATCTTCAACCTGCTGTACCCCACTGGTCACGGCTTCCCACTAGAACCCCAGGTTAACTGCCTGAATAGGGCCAGTCACTAGTGAGCACAGATTAATTAAACTAGGACGAAACAGCCGTCCAGTACTCCTAGGTTTTCCAGTGGTTCTCTAACTGATGTCAGCTCATGATTAAATCCTCCATGCAATCAAATGCACATAAAGCAAAAAAAACTTTGGCATCGCATCGGATGTGCAGTTTATTTAGAAGTGCTATTTTGTTTTAATTTATACACTAATAAACTCCACAAGCAGTGAAACTAGATATCGGTGTACAAGCCACTAGCTATAAATTATTTCTTACGCTTTCATCCTTTTACTATTTAATATTAGTAAGTAGAGTCTCTGATTTCTTAAAAATATATTTTGTGTTGTAAGTATTTATCTCAATATACTACTATCTTCGTATTATCTGTCATTGACTACTGCGTTCAAAAATCCATCTCTGAAGACTGTTGAGTCATCAGATTTATTGTTGCTGAATGATCATAATCGCATACCAGAATTTCATAGTAAATATCAGCTCCCGAATATACTGAAACTGAAAACGCTATCGGTGAATTACTGCAACTCAGACACATAAAGCAACTCAAAAATTTCAAATGATAATAAGTTACTTACCGAAATCGCTCTAAATCTAGTTTATTAGCTACTAGTAATAATGAAGGCGGTTTTGCTGTATTTATTGTAAATAAAGCTGAACGTCTAAGCGAACCAGACTGTATGAGAGAATTCTGTGTATTTGTTGACGCGGGATTTGATGAAGATATATTAACAGAAGAACCAGTTAAGGATGAGGTGAACTGTGATGGAACGTTTGATTTGCTTGCCTGTGATCCAGATAATTTCGGTTTTCTGTCAAATAATTCACATTGTAGATGAACTGCTTCAACCAGCTCTTGAGCACGATAAAAGCTTCGACGACTTGTCATAGAAAATAATATAATGATTGCCTGGGACCATTTAATGATATCATCGAGATCAATATCGTCCTGTTTATTTTAAAAAGAGAATTGTTTATTCGAAGATTTTAAATCATTTATATTGTAAATTGAATAATTAAATCTAGAGGATGATTAAGTAGGGCTTTTACTCCTGGTTAAAACATTCGGATTTTCTGTCTTAATCCTTATATTTCCGAAGTGGGAACCAGAAGTGACTTAAATAGTATGATTAAAGACCGCAGTGATGATGAAACGTCAATCACATTGGGAAATGCAAATCCACTTGTGGATATCACTAATTAAAACTGTATTAAGCTCCAGATTTTCTTTTTGACTTCAACCGTTACTGCCTTAAACTGTCACTGACTCACCTAAGACTAAGAAAATACTATTAATTTACTCTTACAGCCGAACGCTTTCAGTCTTAGGAATCGACAGTTACGCTAGAAGAAGCCAAGACACACCTAGAATTCTTTTCTGATAAAAATAAGATGTGCGCTGCAATGTCGCCACTGATCAACTGAAAAGCTAGAAATAAAGTCAGTAATGAAGAAGCAACTAACCCTGTTGATGAAATATCGACCAAATAGGAGAGCTGGGAAAATATCAAGGACTTTTCATTTTCAACCTTATCGCTGAATCCTTTCAACTACTCAGAGTTAAAAACCAACAATATCAAACAATATACGTCATCATTCCCACAATTTACAGATGGAATAATCTATACTGTACCCTGCTAAACTTAGCCCAGATGGGCAAATCGGTCCGCACTACTTCATTTCTACTATTTTCTCTGAAACACTGGTTTGAAACAGTACCCAACAACCACTTGCAACTCTGCGTTGTTAGTACTGAGGGCTAGTGATGGCACGTGGCTATCGAAGCCTTGGTTGATGGGGGGGAGGGCTTCCAGCCTGTGACCCAGTGTTTACAAATCTACCACCTAGACCAATAACTCACAGCTCCTGGAGATCGGCATACATGGAAACAAAGCAGGCTTTTGTGAAAAGCCACTAATTTGAAATCCATACAGCGAAATTCATTCCTATTTAGCAGTACAATATGATATTATCATGTGACTCAAATTTATTTCAAAACTTAGACAAAGGTTAAACATTTGAATGACTATTAGGCATATTTCTGTGAAGCTGACTGTAACAAAAAAAACTTGGACTGATATTTTCCTTCTTCTACATAAATCGGCTATACTTTGGAGGAAGAAGAAGAATAACAGGGATAAAAAAAATTGCTCGACAGTCTGCAACCTTTTTCTTGAAATCAGTAAAGTGTTACATAGTTTGAAGAATTTCACTAAATCCATATTTTTCCATTTCTTTAACGTCACAAATATCCCTGTAGTAAATGAGACAAAGCGTTATTTCAAGTCTTCAGAGTAGTTTTCATTTAAGATGAAAGGCATTTATTGTGTTTAGCCTGTCGTCAGATCTCCTAAATAAGGAGTACTGGTGAAAATGTAGATCTGCAGTCATTCTCCTCAATGGATTTGTTATTTTATTACAATAAGGTATGATTTCACTAGGTTTGCTATACGCTACTGAAACTCATTCATATATTTTTAAAATTTTATTTCTTTTACTGAAGGCACTAATCATATTACTTGCTAAAAACTTACACTGTCGGAGGTGTCCTGAATATTCACTGTTAATTCATGACCATCAACGCAATCAATTTTTGTGTAACTGTCACCTGAAAATGAATAAAATAGTAAATAATGTTTTAAAAGTTTGTATATTTCAGGTGCTGAAGTTATTTTCAATGTCATTAGCACTTAACTCTGTACTAAAAGCAGTCCACCTTGAGATCTGTCTATAAAGAACTGAATACCATGTCTACAGACTACTTATGTATTTCGTGTGTGGAACCCACGTCTTTCATCAGAAGAACCTCCAAACCTAACTATTCTTTATTAGGTTTTGTCATTCGATTTTTCACATATGGATTCTGTCAGGAAGTGATTCTTCATTTAATCAAACCTGCTGACTAATGCGTTAAATATATCAATGAGATCTGCAGTTTAGTAATCGGTAAATATGTGAGCAACTGAGTCTGTGTTTTTAAGTGACTCTACAGAAACTCTACAATTGTATAGATACCTCCAAGTAGCCACTTCCACATTATTTAACATTTCCAATATACTGCATAGGTCACAGTGACATTTTTGTAATTTGAGTTATTTTTTAAATGGTGAGAGCTAATAAAGAAATTAAATTGTCATAACTGCTGGTCTATCATGCGAAAAAGGATGGAATAGGCAAAAGATGGTTGTTTGTGACTATGGAAACAATCTTACTAAACGTGACTGTTAATTCCATTAATTTTTTTTTTTGATTTACAGCTTGATTCCACACTGTATTTTTGGTACAAGTATGGAATTTTCAGCATGGATATCGGTAGCCCAAATTTCGCAGGCCGACCATAGATATCAGGTGTGCGCCGGCGTGGGCTCGAACCCCGGACCATGTGCATGGTCGTTTATTCACTAGAATGTGGATTCGATAGTTTGAGTGCTGTTTTGACTTATAGTTTAGCTATTTCCAGATGACTGATTCTAGGTGTGAGAAAGAGATAAGAATCAGTTGAAAGATTTCATCATCAGGTGACATCAGAACCATTAGAAAACTTGACAGTACTGGACAGCTGTTTCGTTCTAGCTTGGGAACCTTCATCAGTGTGCAACCGCCGCAGCGGTTCGAAACCAGGTCCTTCTGGTTACATGGCAAGCTAGCTCGTAGACCATTGGGCCACTGAAACCTGATGCATTCGCCAGTCCATGAATTCTAACACCTGCCAATTCATGACACTGAGCGACCACTTCTCAATGTCTTCTTCTATGAGCTACTCTCTCACCTTCAACCTAATGTACCGTACTGTTCAAGACTTCCTAATAGGACCCCAGGTGAACTGCCTGAATATGGCCATTTGCTAGTGAGTATTGAACACCGGTATGTGCGTATTGCCGAAGGGTTCCAGACTAAGCTGACGAAACAGCTGTCTAATACTCCCTGCAGGTTTTCCAATGGTTTTCCAACTGATGTCAGCTCATGACGAAATCCTCCAATCAATCAAACGAAATCCCTACAAAACCAATACTTGAAGATAAGAATTACTTAGAATATTTTTAAAAAACCTGAATGATGTTATGCAAATCTCTGTAGGAAATCCTTGCCTATGTACATGTGGAAGAAATCTGGTCTCTGTAGAATAATTAACATGAATAAGAACTTTATTTCGTATTCCTGTGTAGGTAATCTTGTTCTGACACTCTGAGTTTCAACAGGTTGTCCACAAATACTATGTAGATTGTTACCTATGAATACTGAGTACTCAATTCTATACAAGAAGCATACTAACTGTATATAATTATAGTTATTGGTTCAGTCATTAACTCAGTCAGTAATATGAGTTTTTCCAGTAAAATATAAGCGCATATATTACTGTGATAAGCTGAAGATTGCGACATGTCAGGTTTCCTTAGTAACTCACACACAACCTCGAGTTACTCTGCGTGCAATAAAAAATAGATTACAGATATATATTTGGCGAATAAGGATAAAGTTTTTAACAGATAGCTATAATAATATGCTTAGTAATCAAGGCGTGGAAAACAATTCATAAATTCATCAGTTATTCCCTTTTAATATTTTTTCACACCCACTCTATATCGTATTCTTATACAGGTCAACTTTAGGAATGTATTCCTAACAACAAAATAATGTCAGAATATGTTTATTTATTGGAAAACAATTTAATCGAAAATTCTGAAAAAAACAAATCCTTTACTTACTCAAATAAGGTGCATATTCAACGATGAAACGACGTGTTAGATATTTCACTACCACAGCTGTAGAAGAAAAATGTAAAAATCGTATATTAAATTTCATAGTAGGAGGTATACACTCTGTGGAATTCCCACATATACATATAAATACATAATTACCCATCCTTATATGAAATTTATACTGTTCTGTTATGTATGGAGTTACTTTTTTCAGCTTTATAACCATTTGGAACCGTTCTGAGTATTATCAGTAGTCTTCACACAGTAACTGTGTTTCGTAGCTCTCCATGTGCGTAGTTGATAAACTGAGAATGCTTTCTCAGTGTAAAACTTTGCACACATGTAGCACAGTTCTAGTTGCTACACTCCACGTAGCATACAAACATAGAGAAAAATTGTGAAATTAAATACTATAATGAAAATAAATGTGTTAATGTGTCTAACAGAATACAAATAGTGAATGCGTCTGCACCACCACTGAGAACCATGTCCAATCCTATGACGAACAGTTTCTAAACACTGGTTCCTAGAGCTTTGAAGACTCCAGCTAGGCACCTCCGTATGTGGCTCACACCAAAAATCAGACAGTTAATGTGTTGATGCCATTGCTTGGTCTGACTACCCATCACTCTTTTCCAATGAAATCGTATGTCAGCCAACATTTTCCGATTAAGAAGCCGATGTATTCGAATACGTAACACATGTCCTATCCATTTCAGTCTATGAAGCTTTACAAATAACGCATAAGAAAAAGCTGTTTCGAGTAAATGAGATGGTCACATCAAAATTAAAATATTCTGTTGCTGTAATGTTTAGGTTATTTTGGTCAAAATAGTTTTCTTCCTAAACTAGTTAGTTGTTAAGCATGCACATCTGTTGTAAACAGAGTCATTACATATACAGCCGTGGTTTTTATCTTTTCTAATTTTATTTCTTTACTTTCCCAGTGAAACAGAGAGAGAGAGCTTCAAGATAGAGCTTTGAAGTCTCGTTAGCTATGGTTTTATTTTTACTAGATGGACTTGCTAGCCTCACGCTCAACCTACCCTCTTTACCAGGATGACTACCAGTTTGGCAAGGTCTAGGAGTACATCAGCCAGGGATTGAAGCCCGCACCATATGCACGGTAAGTGAGCGTCCTGTCACTGGAACACCTACGCTATGCAGTTGTGAACCTATGTGCAATAAACTACTAGAGATTTTGAATCTTGTTTAATTATATTAATTCATGAATCAGAAATATATGTATGTTCATCTCATGACGACATAAATCAAGGTGTGACTTGAGTGAAAAGAATGACTTTTTGGCGGCACATTAAAGTGAAAAATTATGGCCAGATTTCAGTCAGTTTTGTTTAGATGAGCTAGGGTAACCGTGAATCTCTTTCACTTACAAATGTAACTACTCACTCGCAATTCACCATGATATTTAAGGTTTCTCAAGAATCATTTATAAAATCAAAAATTTTTTTTTGAGGAGTGAAACAGATTATTTATATAAATAGAGAACAATATAATAAGGGTCGTTATTTCTTGAAAATCTACAGGGAATGTTTGATGAAAAGGATCACTCCATCATCAAAAGTAACACATGGTCAGAAACATTTCTTAATATATTAGATTTCACTTCCAAAGTGCAAAATACAGTTTGTAATAAAAATATTTAGAAATTATTCTCACCTAATAAACTTTAAATCATCCTTTTGGATTATCTTTGTGGAATTTATTCAAATTAACATACAGTTATTTATAGAAATTGTAACAGATGGTTTGGAACTGCCAGGGGAAATGAAAATGAATTATAACTCTCCAATCTAATAAAGCTATTCAACAGGTGAATTTAGAACTTATAGATCTGAAGAAATTATCATGAATAATATCTCAAAACATGTGAACTATAACTAGACAGTCTATTATCATCACCAGTATTCATAAGAAGTTGGCATATTTGAGCATAAAGTGAGCATTTCAATGACCAATAGTTGCGAAATGCCCGAATTAAATTAGTTACGACAAGCTAGTAATGAAAAATATAAATTTTGAACAAAACTGTCTGAAACAGTCAAAACTTATGAGCAATATTATGTCAAAGTTCCAGAAGCATTAGATAACTCTGTGATCAGGTGTGTACTTTGTTGACGAAGTAAGAAGGCCACACCACACTATCTTAATTTATTGCGGTGAGTGTCTTATCGCTAATTCGTCAGGTACACAGGGTTCATTTGCACCTCAGACTAAGGTTTACCCACTATAGTCAAACGAATGGATCTTCGCTAATACTGCTAACTTTTAGCTTGTTAGTTAAACGAACACAAATAGAATTTAAATGAACCCGAAAGCTGCAAGAACGGCAGACTTTTAAGCTCGTTAGGTAAGCACACACAAACAAAATCTAAATGATAACCCGATAACTTCAAGAACTACAGAATTTTAAGCAATCAGAGTTATTCTGTGAAAGTCCAACAGCCTTGCAAGTGATACCATTTTTATATTTTACTAATGATAGACTAATCTTAAAATACAAAAGTTACAGAGAATACGTTACTTCAAAACTGCTTTGAAATATCAATAAAGTCTACTGGTAGTTACTGGCTGTGATCATACATCCAAAGATTAGTGCTGCTGCTCATTCATTCCCGCCCCCCGCCCTCTTCAGTGTGTATCTTAAAGTAAAACTATGTGAAAAAAAGCCTTGTGATTTAATCACCAGAGTCCATATCTCTACACCCTCATGATTAAAACACCCTACTACTTTGCCTGAACAGTTAATAAATTTAAAACAGCAACTATAACATTTGTTTAAGATAGCTTTTTCCTGGGCAAAACATGAAACATAGGCTAAATCACAATAATTATTTGTTTATTACTGATGTAGACATCAATCATCAATTTCTAAGTCCCTCGAAGGTGAATTATATCATTTAGAATAATCTTTCCCAGATAAATCGAATTACTTTGATTTCTGACAATATATAAATGTATATATATGAATCACATCAAAGACATAAAACATCTGTATCCAACACCTAATTCCTCTTTGTTTTAATCATATAAAATTTAACCATAACAGCAGTAAACAAAGTCCATATAAAACTTTAAATAAATCAATACTTTCTAATGTCTGTGATGCTGTTTTATCGTTTTACTTTACATTTCATAACTATATGCATAGAATTGGCGTAATTTTTATTGGGTTTTATGAGGATAAAGTCGCTTGTTACATTCTGTACTTATGAAAGAGCCAATCAATTTCACCAGAGGATTTGGAAGGACTCTTTATTCTGAATCAGTTCTGTATAGAATCGATCTTTGACAAGGAGATCTCTCTCTCAGTTCCTCTAACTGAGATGCTTTAAGATAGGGTAAAGATATCATATCTAGAGTATATATTTTTTCCTGACAGCAACTGAGTGTAAGCATTAAATCAAGGGTATAGAGTTTTATGCATGATGCTTTTGATAAGGGTTTGTTTGAAGTCACAAGAAGCAGTCATTACGACTGTGACACAATAATATCAGTCTCAGATTCATAGAGTGCAGTAAATATTCACTTAATAAACATTTATGTTAAAACATATAGGGAATAATTTATATAAAACTGAAAGAATACTCTTCACTGTCCATCCACCATTGTTCAGCAACTGTCTTACTGAGTTTTATTTAGTACTGAGCAACTTGAGTGATAAAAGTCAATAGAGTCTTTCCGAGGTAGCGTTGATAACTGGTACTTAAGAGTCATGACTCGGAAAACCTTGACTTGACCAACCTAAATTGAATTTTCTTGAGCCACTCAGCTTTCTACGTGGGTGATTCTATCGTAGAATGCTCAGTAACCACCCATGTAATCCCGGGTGAACTCCTGGCCGACGGCTCTTTAAACCTCATCGAGTTTACTATTCAATAGAAAGCTTGGAAAAGAAAAGTTGGGTGTGAGACTAGTAATTCCCTGTTCTCTAAAACAACACGGCTACCACTCAGACTGCAAAAGCTTGTATTCCCATATCCCACTCGTAAGGCGAAGAAAAGAAAAATAAATTCATTTAGCTTGCATAACTGACTGTGTTGTCCGAAATTAGAAATGAGTGTCGGAATTGGTAGTGTATGTTCTTTTCATTTTCTTCCGATAAATGAGGCAGTCTTATAATCCAATATTACAACTCCATTTTGACAGAAAAACAATTCGCTGTGAACAATGTATATTACTAGGAAGCTTAATATTTTCTCAATAAACCATTACTGTTCATTACTTCAACAGATATTCCTAAATGTGTTATAGCTGTCTTTCACCTTATATGTCAGAAATTTTTTATCATGAGTAAATTATTGATACAAATTATTGATAGCCACTTATTCTTCCTCAAGAGTTACTTTTTAGGAATTTGGTTTCTTCCAAGTTTCACAGATGATTGATATCAGTTAAAGAACCCCTGAAAACCAAGGAGTGCTGGAAAGCTCTGTCGTCCTAGTTTGGGTCTGGTCCATAGGACATACTAACCAGGTTTCTAACCCATGACTTTCTGTTTACAAAGCAAGCTCGTAGACTATCCAGCCACTGAAACCTGACTCAATGACCCATGAATTCTAATTTCTGTCTATTCATGAATTTAGCATGACCACCGCTAGCCAATATGACTGGCGATTATTTGTCTTTGCTCCTAACTGGACGGACCCAACTCAATAGGCCTCTAGAAAAGTACGTCGTGTAAGCAGTCACTAGGGAGCATCAGATTAATTGTCAAGAGTTATTTTTTAGGGCTTTATTATTATTATTTCCTTTAATTCCTAGAGGAACATAGGAATGGGTTCTCTCGAGGTTTACTAGCCCGTGGGTTTCACTCGAGGACTTGCCACTTGATGGTTTCCTTAGAGTATAGCCGATTCATCTCCACTTCTTCCTGCTTATTTGTTTCACTATCGGTTCCTGGTTGGTTCGCTCTCCCAGAGATCTCTGTTGCTGATCTTTTCTGGCCATCTGATCTTGAGTATTGAGCGAAGAGAGATGTTGATGAAAGTCTGTAGTTTGTTTGAGGCATTCTTTATGACGTGTCAAGCCTCTGATCCATCCGTATAGTAGCACTGACTGACTTTATATTTGAGTTGAAAATCCGGATCTTATTTTTGATGCTGAATGCTGTTGACCTCCCCAGAGACTTGAGAGTAATGAAAGTTTGTCTTGCTTTCCCGATCCTCGCCGGTTTGTTATCCTCGTCCATACCATCCGCCTGTAGTTGAAACGATGCTTCCTAGGTAGGTGGGTAGGTAAAGGAGGTTGTTTCTTTCAGGTTCCTCCTATTTATGCTGATTGTTGTCTCTTGTTGTTGTTGCTGCTGTTGGTGTTGACCAGGAATCTTCATCACCACATCTGTTTTCTCAATGTTCACCTGAAGTCCTATCTTCCCTGGATGCTTCTTCTGCTAACTTGTTGCTTTTCACTTGCATATCTTCCAGTTTGTGGGAAATCAGACATATATCACCGGCGAAGTCCAGATCCTCCAAGTATTTTGCGTGGGTCCATTCTATGCCTGTTTCCTTGTTGCCCGCTATCCGTCGCATTATCCAATCTACTGCAATCAGGAAAATCATTTGCGATAGTAGGCAGCCTTGTCTTACTTTCGTCTTGACTTCGAAGGATTCCATAAGTTTCCTGTTGTAGGGCTTTGATTTGGTTCAATGTGACCATTCCTTACCCGTTCTCGTTCTCCTTTGTCGAATTCCTTTCAGCAGAAAAAAGTTAGCCATGAAAGACAAAATTCGAATTAAAATTGCCTCAGCTTGACAAGATCATAGGTATCATATGTGTATCTTTTTAATCCAGTTTGCGATGATTACTCTCCATCCCCATTCTTCTGTCACTTATTTTGCGAATTCGGGCTTTGAACCACTCGGTAACTTAATATTACCATAATAAAAGGTAGCAAATAATTGTCTATGCATTGTAAGTTTCAGTCTTTTGTTGTCAATAAATGTATCGAACCTATGCGAATGTTTCAATGCGACCTGAAAAAAGCTATTTTATCCTTCGATATAACTAAGAATAATAATTCCTAAAACAATATTATTGATTGTCGTTTAGAGCCATAGTAGATGGTTTTAACTGCATTTATATGGCAAGTATCAAATATAACCATATATACATCATGAAATATGGTGTTTAATTGGTGTATGGTAACTAGCAGTGGAATCCAGGATCCTCATTTCGTCCTGTTCGGGACTCGTCAGCATGATGTACCTCCATTCCCCAGTGAGTGATGACGTTCCCACCGAGGCTCGAACTCAGTGTCCATAGTTTCAAACGCCAAAGTGATATCCACTAGACCACTTGGGCCACGACAGCCACCTCTTGTGCAACAGGCCGAGCACTTCGGTCTGAACAATCGACGGGAAAATCTAAAATTCAATTAAATAAATATGGTGTTTCTCTAAAATCTGAACGTGCAGCTCCAGATAAGAAACACATTAGCTTAAAACATCGAAATTTTCTAATGTTTATGTATAAAATGCTGATCTAAAAGTGACTTCTGAAGAACATTTCATAGAATGGAGTTATTTAAAGGTGCCTTAGGTGGCTAAGTGTAACCTTGTCGCCTCTTTCTGTCTGAAAACATGAGTCTGTTACGGATTTAAATACAGAGACTTTCACAATAACTTAAACATGAAAAGTTTATCAATATCGTGGTTACTTTACCAGTTAGTCAACTTTCCCCATCAGAAAATAAACAACAAAACCTTCATCATGAAACAGTCAAAACTCACCTGATTTCCCGGAACCATTCATACCGATGACAGATATATTTACGGTATTAACGTTTGTAACTGGTTTAGAATATAATCTTTGCATTTCTGCTTTTGTGAATATCAAATTATAAAAGGTTCCACTTGTTTAGTAAGAAAATATATATTTATAGAAGTTATGAGCGATTAGTTAAAATTATTGCTATTTCCTTTTAAACACACATAGATATTTAACAGATCAATAATTAGTAACATAAGCGATCTTTATTTAGATATGTAGGCATCACTTTGTCTCGATTATAATTCCAAATTTGGATGTCTAAACATATTGATGATAAAAGTGATATCATCAACCCCCAATACATTTTTCACAGTTCAATAAGAAATCGAATATCTTATCCCCTATTTATATATGTACACAGAAATATATGTGAATATAATACCTGAATAACTACTGGTCGCAAATGGACGATATTGATTGATTTCCCGCTGACTGTGTATCTATAAATACGTGTGTGTGCATAAATCTATGGGTATTTTATCCCTCTCACGTGCTTTCTGTGTGACTTTCATCCACTCAGATTGCAACATCGGTCTAAACGATACGCACAGCAGATTGTTGCATAGCGAATAAACTAGTGTATATAGATAGTCATAGTAGCATAGCTATTACTATTACTATTACAACTGGCACTGAAAAGCACATTATGATGTAGGGAAAAAGGATGCAATTCAATAATGTCCTGTAAAGGAAACACAACACAGGAAGTGTATGGAAAATATTTAGTGCATAGGAGAAAAGAAAATATGCAGGGAACAAAACTATTTACAAAACTTGATAGTTTTCATCATCATAATAACAATAACAATAATAATATTAGTAGTAATCAATAGCTAGCTACCTACCTACCTAGGCCCTGTAAATGCTAACATTCCTTTTAAAGTAATTTATGCATATGTTTGTGCAACGATCACTATATACATTTGTGTGGCAATTAGTGCTTGCCTCTAGTAATGCTATCTATCAGTTATTAACACAGCTTAAAGTGTGCACGAATGAAGATTTATAACAACTCGGGAATGTGAAGATTTTTATCTTTGTCAATAATTATTATTTCTTTGCTTATTTTTCCGGCTAATTTCTCGGATATCCATGAAGCGGTTGTCTATTTTAAACAGAGAAACTACCCGGAATATTAGTATTCTTCTACTGTTCTCAAGACTATTCAAATCGCTTGATTACAGCACCACTATAGCGCCAGAATTCAGTTTATGAGAAATAAATAATTTATAGAGGTTGGGAAATGTTAAAAATCGGTTTTACTGACGTTTTCATTTGTTAAACAGCTTGATAGGTGTTGTTTGTTATAGTCAATTTTATTTCACTTATTGATCAATAGGATAGAAATCTGCAGTTTCGAATTTTTATGTGTCATCTCCCAATAAAGACACTATGAAAATGTTTGAAAACTAAAGCAATGTTAGCCAGTGGATGTTGACTACCAGTAGATAACTCTTAAGCGTTTGAAACGTTGGGTCCTGGGTTCAAGTCCCAGTGGGAACACCCCCCCCCACACTCATTGTGGTGGATTACAGTGACATCCAACCGGCAGTTTCAAAATAGGATGAAATTCGCATTCTGGTTCCTACTGCTATTTACCATCCATAAAATAATATTTTAATAAATGTATCAAACGAACTTACATGAATATGTTATCTGATTAAACCAATTTGGAAGAGTGATACTTAATTATGTAAATGAGTAGTAGTTATAAAGTAGTTTTTCTTCTTCCATAAGGATTTCCTCATTCTACTCGCTTAGAGCAAACAAAGAAAAAGACTTGTTCTGTTAGTAAATAAGGCTACAGTATTATATGAAGATATCAGAAGAGATTCTGAAAAAAACATTACCAATCATCAGCGGAAGACATAGCACTTTACATTCCAGTATATCTCGAGCTAAATGAGAAATTCTGCGGTAATTTTTATACACATCAATGTAAAAAATTCTCGGCAGATTAGTAGGAAATGCAAAATTTTTCGAAAAATTCTTCATTCGGGTAAACTTTAAAAATCTGTCTAGGTATAAAGTGATGAAACGCCTGCGCCTAAAAGACTCACAAGCACATGTATGTCTTAGATCGGCTTCTAGTCTGATTCTTTTTGACAGCAATAAAGTCTGTTGCGTCTATATACGTTTATTATACTCCAGTTATTGTGTGTTAATAATACATCTGTAAGCTTTGATTGTGAGTATTAGTTCTGGCGGAAGCTGTAAGACAGAAAATAAACAAGTGAAACATAAGTCAACAGAGAGTATTTAACCGGTTAGTAAAGTAGGTTTAGCTGATAGAGTGGTAAAGGGTGTGAGGTTACATAAAGTAACTGAACTATTTGTCAGAGCACGAAGGATGTTGTAGTTCTTGTAAACTCCATTCATTGTGTAGCAACGGTTAGAACATCATTCTAATCTGCAAGAGGTAAAGCTATTTGTTTCCGTTCTCGTCATGATTTTCATTCATGCAGTGCATGCAAAAAAGTGTCAGGTAATTAGAAAAGTCACTGGACCACTAATCCAGCGACTTATGTCTCTGAGGGATTAGGTCTTTAGACATCCCTTCAAATGAGGTGGTGCATCAAATGATTTTAGGGCAACTTGAATATAATTTAAAACCGTCTAATCTAACTTCTAAGAATATCACCTAACGTTTCAGTTGTCTACTAATCCAAATGATTTTATTTCATCTTCTAAGATTTATACATTTCATGAACTTTTGAACGTTACATAACCTAATTTTTACTTTAACCATGACTATAATCACTAGTATTGTCACACATAACATTATCATTACTACTGTTATTATTCACAATTATTTAAACTACCGGACAAGATATTTTAGAAATTATATATATATATATATGCACGATTATGCAGCTCGGTAATAAAACGTGTTGGAAAAGAACCTTTTCGTAGAGTGATATGTTCCTAGTACTACCACGAGAATTAAACCATTAAGAAAAGGAAGGAAAATTTCGCGGAGAAAACTTTCTTCGTCGACAAGGTTATCTTTTGAGACTGTAGAATAGTATTTACAATTACTGTAATGTATGAATGATAAGGGGATTAATGTAACTGACTCATATATCTTCAAATTGATTTCTAAAAATAAAACGAGTGTTGGCGCGGTTGTCAACGAAACATTAGAAAGTTAGATTAAACGTCCGGCAGAGATCAGATGGTTTGATTTGACTTGATTCTCTTAGCTAAATCAAACTAGTTACACCACTGAAATGTTCAGCCACGCGATGTTTAAATCAGTTTTATCTCGTTGGCATGCACAATTGGTTATTGTCAGAAGTATACATCTATTCATCTCAATCTATCAGCGGTATGTAGTTTTGTAGTACCCCTATACCAACTGTAAAAATGCTTTTTAATCTAATTTGTATACTTGTATTATATGTGTACCCAGACCGAGTTTACGTGTACTTCGCAACACATTTGTCAATTTACTGCTGAACACTACCTCGAAACAATTTTGAAATTTGACTACAGCTTTAATACACGATCGTACTCTTCGCAAGTGCCTTTTGGTTTTACGTTGTGGGCGCTGAGTAGCCACAACGTCTATGCACATTAATAAACGTGAAGAAGTGTAACAGGCAACCAGCAGGCACACTGTAATGAAAGCAGAACACCAACTGCACAGGAAAGAGTTTATTCAGCGAGAATGGACTTTTAAAAAGTGCGGGGTACAGTTTTAGGAAATAACAGTTTTACTGAGCTTCATTAATGTTCAGGTTCTGCAATTCCTCGTCCAGGTAGTTGACTCCCTGGTGTCTTCCTGCAAGTAGAGAAAACAAAACATTGATTAGTGTTACAATATTAGTTTTGTTTCTCTTACAGAAGTACTAGGAAATACGTGTACGCTGATTTGGTCAAATGACGCACGCAACAATTTCATCTAATCTTTAGAACAGTTTCTCTTTTTCTTTTGCACATCTTCATTACGGATTAAACTGCAGGTTCATCAATATTCGTTTGCAGTCATATATTCTGTTCACTTAGACTAGTCAAACAAAACACCGTGGCCTGCTTAAATCACCAGCCAGCTGAATTTTATACCCAGCAAAACATATCGTGTTTACTCTGTTTCATATTGTTTTAATACTGTAATTGTCACAGCAAGACAGAATCCATGCTTGCGCACAATTTCAAATAAGCTTCTAGCGAACTTGTGTAATTTCTCAAAGAAAATGGGGAAAGAACATTGTGGAAAAGTACTGGAGTGAGTTTCGACTGCAACAATATTCCTTCAGATGGTATATCATTGATAACTTTTATCTGAAAATTCTGGACAATAAGTAAATGCTTCTCAAACGAAACATTTTTAGATGATTTCGAAGTTTTAACGGGCAGTTTGGGGAAAAATTAAGGCAAACGTTTTGAAGAAATGTCTCTTTTTTCCCTAAATACCCTCAAATCCCGAATTCCCCCAAAAATTTCTATGCAGGCTTGTAATGAAACTCACTGGATATTCCGTGTTATGTATAAACGCACTTTTCAGAATAAAACTGTTATTATTATTGCTGCTCCTCACTTTAATAGTAGGAGGAAAAAATAAGTGGATCATAGAATTTCAAGGAACTAGTCGATCTGCGAAATTTTCATTTCCAGTGATCGATTTCCTCATGTCTTCTGCTGAAATTCAGAGGAAAGTGTCACAAATAACAGATGACTGAAAGGAAAGAAGAGCGAATACTGCATTCTACTTGAGGTTTTTTCTAAATTTTTGCCATCCTATTCACGTCAATAAATCTCTTAACAGGTCTAAGTTTAATTTCCTACCTTTTTAGTGGTGTAGCTGGGATGAAAGCCCAAGCAGGCTTATAATCTTTTATGTCGTTCTAAGTAGCAACCCAAAAGCCTGTCGCCATGTTCCGTTTACGATTTATTACATGGCTCCTAGTGTTATCCAGTGGCGGATTCAAAAAGCACTACTTCTGCACACAGTTGGACTACAGAAACCAACTTGCTAAATTTTTATCGAAAACTAAAAACAGATTAGGCTTCAGCCTGTCGACAGAGAACGTTGACTGGAGATT